TAATACTAATAGTATATTTCGGGATTCAAATCGTTGAAATTTAATTTTCTTTTATTTTTATTATGTCTTGGCTAGGATTTTAGGGTAGGAGCTTGAAAATTAGAGATGAAAATGCTCTGAGAAGGAGCTCAAAGCTCCAGTAGACGTCATTCTCAAGCTCCGATTCCCTAAATATTTTAAAAACAGAAAAATTTAAAAACCACCAAATTAGTCCCGCTATTTATAGAGTAAATTAAAGGGTCAGCAAAATAGCTAACAAACTAAATGTAAGGGTTTTTTAATTTAAAAATTTGCTAATTTTGTTAGACGTCCGAACCGGCATTATTAATTTGAGAAAATCGTCGTTAGAAAGTTGTTACGACAATTGTGGATACGCACTTGAGAATATAACAAATGAGGATATAAATGAAAAATAAAAAAAACTTGGAAGACCACTAAAACTTGGAATACCTCCACTTGGAAGACCAATAAAGAAGAGTTCATCACTTTCGAGCGCCGCAGGGAAAAATTTTTAATTTCAGAAGGTTTTGTTATTTGTTTTTTATCATCATTTTAATCCTCAATTGTCGTGCTCATTTGTCATATCCTCAAGTGCGTATCCTCAATTGTCGCAACACCGTTAGAAATTTTTTTTATAGATTAGCTATATAATTAAGTGTTAAAGCATCTCAACAACTTCCCAATAATTTATAATAAATATTTATGTTTAATGTCAAAAATCATATTTAATATTTTAATGAATATCTATTCAATTTAAAAATTATTTTAACAAAATGAGAAATGACAGAGGAAAGTGGTTGAGAGGGCTATTAAATTTGAGATAGGATTGAGTGGGAGGAGAATTTTAATAATTTTTAATTTTTTTAATAATGTATGAGTAGGAAGAGAATATGTATAGAGATAATTTTAAAGGGCCGATATTTACAAGACAAAAATAAATTTAGCCCTCACCCCCTCTCCCCAAAATTAAAAATATCCAATCCTATGATATTCTCACTGATTTCCAACTAACAAGGAGACATTTTAAAATGTGAAAATTTTGTGGTTTTTTTGCACCATCGTGTATAGCATGGTCGTAAAATCTTCTCTTCTCTAAAATCTTCCCTTCATTCTTAAAATCCTCTCCTCTTTACACGATTATATAAAATATTTACATTAAGCAAGATGCAAAAATTAAATTAATTAAAGTTCAAGAAAATTGCACTAAATTAAAATAAAATTTTTTTATAAAAAGATTTTTGAACTAAACTTTAGTCACTAACAAATAAAGGTAATAAAATTAAGCTTTTATTTTTTATTGAATAAAATTTATATTCATAACATTATTCTTTTATTATTTACATACCGTATTTACTCGATTTTATTTTTTCAACCCATCCGTGGACTAGGGAATTATTCAGGGGAGGGGAATTATTTGAGTTTTGAAATTTCAAAGTGTAGTAGGGTATTTGGGAGAGGGGGACTATTTTTTCAACTCATCCGTAGCAGAGGGAATTATTCAAAGGAGAGGGGAATTATTCAAGGGAGGGAATTTTTTTTGTAAATACGGTATATTTAATTTAAAATAAAAATTAGGTAAATATAAACAATTAAAAGAAAATTAAATTAAAAAATATTTTTTAATTTTATTCATTAAAAAAATACAAAAGTTTTTTTTCAAATACGTTATTTATTCTCTTTGTTTATTTAATTTCCTTTTACGTAAATAAAGTTTTATTTAATTTAATAATAAATGTACATATTTTAATTTAAATAAAATAATAAAATATTAAATGTTAACGCTTTTTGATTCATTATAATTTTTTTTTTATTTAATACAAATATTTAATAAAAAATTAAAGTAAATTAAAAAATTTTTTAGTTTTTTTCTTAAAGGAAATTTAATTTAAATATCAAATTATTTTTTTAAATTTTTTATTAAAAAATGAAATAAATGTTCTCTTTAATTATTAATATTCTTTTATCAAAAATTAAATAACCACCGTATTTCCTTAAAAAGTACTCCCGGGAGTAACACTTTTCAGTATTCGCCAAAGGGAATAGACCTATTAACGCTTTAATGACTTTTGAAGACCAAGGAGTCATAGCTCTCCTTTATCAGGCGAAAAATTTTAGAATATTGGAAGGTCAAGTTGCTAGCTTTCTCTTTTTTTATAGCGCCGTAGGCAAAAATTTAGAATTTTAGAAGGCCAAGAGCCAAATTTCTACAATTTTAAAAATAAAATAAGGAATCCAAAAAAGTTCAATTTTTAGGGGTGTAATTTTTGAAAAGCTCAAAAAAGTTGAGACCACGACTAAAACCGACAAGACTCAAGACCAAGTGTCTTGGATAGCTCTAGGGAGTATTAATTAAGGAGGGAGTTTTAATTCCGTGGGGAGTACTATTTTAGGAAATTCTGTATATATTTCTTTTTCGATAACCATTTTTGATTCTTTAATGAAATAATGTATATAACAATGCAAACAAATATTTTCTAATTAAATATTGAAATTTTCTTTTAAAAGAATTGTTTCTTTAATAATATAAACAGGAACATAATATAAATTTTGCAAATTAATTTAGGGAAAAATAAATATTTAACACGCAATTTCAAAAAAAAATAACAAAAATTATTATAAATATTTTAAACACTTATTTATTTTTAATATTTACATAATTAGAATAATATGTATTGTATTTAGATAAGGCTAAAATAATTTAAAATAAAATTTAATTATTTAATTTCCTTTAAATATTGATGGATGCTATGGAAGATAATGTAAGGAAATATTAAATTTTAATATTTGTTTTAATCGTAGGAAACACACTAATTTTAAAATGATTTCAAAAGGATAAACTTAGAAATGCTCTCTTCCCTATCGTTAGGTTCTTGGAGGTTTGCCTAAATCCGTAATCAGCAATTTTTGGAAAAAGGAGTAGCTGGGCAAATAAGGAGATTTACTATTAAGGTGGTCTAGGGAATATAATTGATTTGGAGGGATATAGAGGAGTAGGGATTTGAAGCGATTGAGCGAGACGTCAGGGCAGGATATCGGAGATTAAGCACTCGATATCACTTAAAACGGCCGAGTCCATTTATATTCAATGAAAGTCTGTTCACAACCGGATTACGATCTACTCTAAGTAATACCACACACCTCAGGAATATGTTCGATATTAAACTTCTTCCTTAATTTATTAAATTTAAAAAATAATTCGAACGATTAATCTTACTTACTGAACAAATCAAATAGAATTTTTTAAAATCTAATCTTTTAAAATCTTTTTAAAATCCTTTTAAAATTTTTAAGATTATTTCATATTTAATTTTCAGTTATATTCCCAATATAACGACACAGGATTTTCATGGGCATTAACTTTGAGTACATTACCTTTAGTCACCGTTGCATTTCCGGGAATGTTTATGAATATTGCTTTAGTCTGGGTGACTATAACTAAGAGGTAATTCAAATGACTATTTAATCAAGTAAATATACATATAAGGGTTTTTGATATCATTTCTGTTTTATTTTTTCTAGATATATTGTAAGCTTAGCACAGAAATAATAAATTTTTAAGCCTTAATTTCATTAAGCCTTAATCAAAAATAATTTTTTAAAATTTGATAAGCCACTCAGAAAAACTGTCAAAACACAAAAATAATACTTGCGTATTATACTTTATTAATTGCCCTCCCTAAAATAATTATCCTATCTCTATTAGTTACCCCTACATCAAAGGTTGAAACAATAATTACCCTCCTAAAAATAGTTATAATTTGCCTTCCTAAAATAAACTCTATTAGTTACCCCACCCCTAACAGTTACCCTCTCCAGAGAGAGTTTGAAACAATAATTACCCAGAGTAATTAATAGAGTATCCTCTCTATAAAATATATTTTCCCTATCAAATCTCAATTCTTATTATTTTAGTAAATTTCATGGGACCTCAAATATTCTATTAGCCCAATGTGCATTTTATGAAATAATACACGAATTTGGAATTTTAATTATGTTTTATTTTAATTTAATGGGAATTAATTTCCTTACTTACACACAAACTGTTGCCGTATTTTTTATTCCAATTTTTGCTGCTTCAGGGATTGGACCTTTGTTTGTGTTTACTGGACTAGATAGAATGCTTTGTGTGATATTTCCGACATTGTTTGGATTTTTTAAAGTCCTCAAAAAAATTTTTTTAGTCCAAACCAAATACGTCCTCGTATTTATTTAACCCTAATTTCTGTTATCTGTGCTAGTTATTGTGCTATATTTCCTGTTGGATTTTACTGGTTTAACAATATTGACCCGGATACTTTAGTTCCTCCAACATTTAACGACATATTTTCTGTTAGTTTTTATTTAAATATTTTTTGAAAATTAATTAAGAGGGGCACTTTTGGAACAATTTACACATATTCTTGCTTTATTCTTTATAATATTGCAATTATTTTATATGTGGCTGTCGGTATTTTGGTTAAAATTAAATCAGGTAAAATTATTTTGAATTAACTGGAATTTAGTAAATTAATTATAATTATTGGACATTTTTAAAAATATTTAAATCATTGGGGGTTATCCAGTTTTTCTCAAACTAGATAGAAAAATTTTTATGTAAAATAACAACATAGGGATTCATGATCAATGATGCGGAAGTTCCAAAATTTTGGTGGCTCTATTCAAGTTCTGGAACCACTTTTAATTTTGTCAGTTCCAAAACCGATTCCAGACATTTATCGGTTTAAGTTCCGGAACTGGAACCCTCGCTTGACTGTTTATTCATACAATTATTCTAAAATCAAAAATTTCTTTTAATATTTCCATTGATAATAAGTAGAAAACAATTGAGAAATCCCTAAACTCTAAAATCAACGGGAAATTAGGGTTATTTATTAAAGTTGCACAATTAATAATCATCATTATTTAATTTTTCAGATGCCTCATCTTCTCAACATCTAAATTGCCGCCTATATCGTTCCCTTTTAATTATAATTATTTTTAACTTGGGAGGATATTATATTATGCGTGTTTTTTCTTTTTGGATATATCCATTATTAACTAACCAAATAAATGCTTGGTTTATTAGAAAAGCAGTCTCTATTCTTTTAAATATATCTGCTGCTTCTAATGCTCCTGTTCTTTATTTTACTAGGTTTTTAAATTTAAATACAGTCGAATCTAGATATAACGAACTTGAAGGAGCTTTTTAACGGTTCTTAGTTCGAAATTTCTTTGTTAAATCGAGGGGTCACTATAGCAAAGCTTGACTTTAAATTTCTAGTTCTGACTACAAAACAGCATTTATCCAAATATTTACCAATACACATCTAATCAAAACAAAAATTTCTCCAAATAATAATGCCGCAACTGGACATTCTGCAGCTGTTAATCGTTTGCAAATACAACAAAAATTGATGGCTACTCAAACTGCTAACCGAATTGTTTTATCCCCTTGAAATAGTTTTGAAATTAAAGGATAACTAACTAACACTAATATGAAATGATTTAAAGGAAATTTTTAAATGAAATTGAATTTGTAAAAGAATAAATTAATTTTTCAAAATGCCGAGATTTTATTTTAAAAAATAAAATAATAGATAGCCTTCTAATAGTGCTAGTGCGACTCTCTCTATTAGACCGACCTCCTCTATCAAACAACTCTCTAGAGGATGGATCTGGTAACTATTAGGACATGGTTTTCTACCCCAAGATGGTGCACTTTAGTGAGGTCCGGCTGTAATTGTTCATATATTTTAGTGAGTCATGATATCATAACATGAAGAGCTAAAAGACATCTGTGCCATCTGTGCTCACCTGCTCCGATTAATTCAAATATTCTCATTTGCTAAATACTCTCATTGATTTTTATTAATTAAAAAATTCAACTCATTAATCTTAAATCTTTCTCTTTTTTACATCCTTATCAAAATATAACGGTGTAAAATACCCCATTAATAAATTGAGAAATTATTATATAAATTCATGGCTCTAGTTTAGGACATGCGTCCCATGGTAGTGTATGCGTCCCATGACTGTGTATGAGTCCCAAAAAAAAGTTTAAGCGTTCCAAAAAAGTATAAGCGTACCAAAATGTGGGTGCATTAATAATATAATAATGCTATTTAGCCAAGGTTAGTTGTATACCTTGTTTCTCAATTATTTCAACTTATAGCGTCGAATAACGATAAATAATAATAAAAAAGAACTAGTATTTTATTAAATTAGTATTTTCCTTAAATAAAAGCTAGTATTTTCCTTAAATTAATACATATGTTTCTTAAATTTTCGAAAAAGTCATTATTAGTCCACTAGTCTCAATTATTTCAACTTATAGCGTCGAATAACGATAAATAATCATAAAAAAGAGCTAGTATTTTCCTTAAATTGTGGTAATACTCATGTTTCTTAAATTTTCGAAAAAGTCATTATTAGTCCACTAGTCTCAATTATTTCAACTTATAGCGTCGAATAACGATAAATAATCATAAAAAAGAGCTAGTATTTTCCTTAAATTAATACTTATGTTTCTTAAATTTTCGAAAAAGTCATTATTAGTCCACTAGTCTCAATTATTTCAACTTATAGCGTCGAATAACGATAAATAATCATAAAAAAGAGCTAGTATTTTCCTTAAATTAATACTTATGTTTCTTAAATTTTCGAAAAAGTCATTATTAGTCCACTAGTCTCAATTATTTCAACTTATAGCGTCGAATAACGATAAATAATCATAAAAAAGAGCTAGTATTTTCCTTAAATTGTGGTAATACTCATGCTTCGTAAATTTTCGAAAAAGTCATTATTAGTCCACTAGTCTCAATTATTTCAACTTATAGCGTCGAATAACGATAAATAATCATAAAAAAGAGCTAGTATTTTCCTTAAATTAATACTTATGTTTCTTAAATTTTCGAAAAAGTCATTATTAGTCCACTAGTCTCAATTATTTCAACTTATAGCGTCGAATAACGATAAATAATCGTAAAAAAGAGCTAGTATTTTCCTTAAATTGTGGTAATACAATTATTTCAACTTATAGCGTCGAATAACGATAAATAATCATAAAAAATTTGGTAATACGATAAATAATCATAAAAAATTTGGTAATACATGTATTACCAAATTTTCTGTTAGTACTAAACATTATACGCCTGTAATTTCTTCTAATTCATACATAATCGCAAATCTCTATGTATTACCAAATTTTCTGTTAGTACTAAACATTATACGCCTGTAATTTCTTCTAATTCATACATAATCGCAAATCTCTATGTATTACCAAATTTTCTGTTAGTACTAAACATTATACGCCTGTAATTTCTTCTAATTCATACATAATCGCAAATCTCTATGTATTACCAAATTTTCTGTTAGTACTAAACATTATACGCCTGTAATTTCTTCTAATTCATACATAATCGCAAATCTCTATGTATTACCAAATTTTCTGTTAGTACTAAACATTATACGCCTGTAAATTCTTCTAATTCATACATAATCGCAAATCTCTATGTATTATCAAATTTTCTGTTAGTACTAAACATTATACGCCTGTAATTTCTTCTTATACTAAACATTATACGCCTGTAATTTCTTCTAATACTAAACATTATACGCCTGTAATTTCTTCTAATTCATACATAATCGCAAATCTCTATGTATTACCAAATTTTCTGTTAGTACTAAACATTATACGCCTGTAATTTCTTCTAATTCATACATAATCGCAAATCTCTATGTATTACCAAATTTTCTGTTAGTACTAAACATTATACGCCTGTAAATTCTTCTAATTCATACATAATCGCAAATCTCTATGTATTATCAAATTTTCTGTTAGTACTAAACATTATACGCCTGTAATTTCTTCTTATACTAAACATTATACGCCTGTAATTTCTTCTAATACTAAACATTATACGCCTGTAATTTCTTCTAATTCATACATAATCGCAAATCTCTATGTATTACCAAATTTTCTGTTAGTACTAAACATTATACGCCTGTAATTTCTTCTAATTCATACATAATCGCAAATCTCTATGTATTACCAAATTTTCTGTTAGTACTAAACATTATACGCCTGTAATTTCTTCTAATTCATACATAATCGCAAATCTCTATGTATTACCAAATTTTCTGTTAGTACTAAACATTATACGCCTGTAATTTCTTCTAATTCATACATAATCGCAAATCTCTATGTATTACCAAATTTTCTGTTAGTACTAAACATTATACGCCTGTAATTTCTTCTTATACTAAACATTATACGCCTGTAATTTCTTCTAATACTAAACATTATACGCCTGTAATTTCTTCTAATTCATACATAATCGCAAATCTCTATGTATTACCAAATTTTCTGTTAGTACTAAACATTATACGCCTGTAATTTCTTCTAATTCATACATAATCGCAAATCTCTATGTATTACCAAATTTTCTGTTAGTACTAAACATTATACGCCTGTAAATTCTTCTAATTCATACATAATCGCAAATCTCTATGTATTATCAAATTTTCTGTTAGTACTAAACATTATACGCCTGTAATTTCTTCTTATACTAAACATTATACGCCTGTAATTTCTTCTAATACTAAACATTATACGCCTGTAATTTCTTCTAATTCATACATAATCGCAAATCTCTATGTATTACCAAATTTTCTGTTAGTACTAAACATTATACGCCTGTAATTTCTTCTAATTCATACATAATCGCAAATCTCTATGTATTACCAAATTTTCTGTTAGTACTAAACATTATACGCCTGTAATTTCTTCTAATTCATACATAATCGCAAATCTCTATGTATTACCAAATTTTCTGTTAGTACTAAACATTATACGCCTGTAATTTCTTCTAATTCATACATAATCGCAAATCTCTATGTATTACCAAATTTTCTGTTAGTACTAAACATTATACGCCTGTAATTTCTTCTAATTCATACATAATCGCAAATCTCTATGTATTACCAAATTTTCTGTTAGTACTAAACATTATACGCCTGTAATTTCTTCTAATTCATACATAATCGCAAATCTCTATGTATTACCAAATTTTCTGTTAGTACTAAACATTATACGCCTGTAATTTCTTCTAATTCATACATAATCGCAAATCTCTATGTATTACCAAATTTTCTGTTAGTACTAAACATTATACGCCTGTAATTTCTTCTAATTCATACATAATCGCAAATCTCTATGTATTACCAAATTTTCTGTTAGTACTAAACATTATACGCCTGTAATTTCTTCTAATTCATACATAATCGCAAATCTCTATGTATTACCAAATTTTCTGTTAGTACTAAACATTATACGCCTGTAATTTCTTCTAATTCATACATAATCGCAAATCTCTATGTATTACCAAATTTTCTGTTAGTACTAAACATTATACGCCTGTAATTTCTTCTAATTCATACATAATCGCAAATCTCTATGTATTACCAAATTTTCTGTTAGTACTAAACATTATACGCCTGTAATTTCTTCTAATTCATACATAATCGCAAATCTCTATGTATTACCAAATTTTCTGTTAGTACTAAACATTATACGCCTGTAATTTCTTCTAATTCATACATAATCGCAAATCTCTATGTATTACCAAATTTTCTGTTAGTACTAAACATTATACGCCTGTAATTTCTTCTAATTCATACATAATCGCAAATCTCTATGTATTACCAAATTTTCTGTTAGTACTAAACATTATACGCCTGTAAATTCTTCTAATTCATACATAATCGCAAATCTCTATGTATTATCAAATTTTCTGTTAGTACTAAACATTATACGCCTGTAATTTCTTCTAATTCATACATAATCGCAAATCTCTATGTATTACCAAATTTTCTGTTAGTACTAAACATTATACGCCTGTAATTTCTTCTAATTCATACATAATCGCAAATCTCTATGTATTACCAAATTTTCTGTTAGTACTAAACATTATACGCCTGTAATTTCTTCTAATTCATACATAATCGCAAATCTCTATGTATTACCAAATTTTCTGTTAGTATTAAACATTATACGCCTGTAATTTCTTCTAATTCATACATAATCGCAAATCTCTATGTATTACCAAATTTTCTGTTAGTACTAAACATTATACGCCTGTAATTTCTTCTAATTCATACATAATCGCAAATCTCTATGTATTACCTATGTATTACCTATGTATTTCTGTTAGTACTAAACATTATACGCCTGTAATTTCTTCTAATTCATACATAATCGCAAATCTCTATGTATTACCAAATTTTCTGTTAGTACTAAACATTATACGCCTGTAATTTCTTCTAATTCATACATAATCGCAAATCTCTATGTATTACCAAATTTTCTGTTAGTACTAAACATTATACGCCTGTAATTTCTTCTAATTCATACATAATCGCAAATCTCTATGTATTACCAAATTTTCTGTTAGTACTA